GTAGGAAACCTGGATTCTGTGACACATTCTTTTATAGAAATCACCATTAGAAGGGTTCCGTATTTTTTTCGGTTAAAATCTCTTGTAGGATCTATATACTTCTACTTCCACTTCGACTTTTAATAGGAATGAAGATAAATAAAAAAAACAGCTTCAATTCATACACAATTCCACAGTAACGAAAACTGTATCCATAAAGTATGTTTTCCGGCAATAAGCATATCCGAATTACCAAGACATATGTAACTATATATGGGGACCAATTAGTTAGACATTATCTGCCCCTATTGAAATCTATAAGTATGAATGAATTTGTTTAGCAAATACTTCACAGAGTTTGAGATTCAATTTGTCATCGCCCGGGAACGCAAATTAGAACTCCAAGTAGAACGATTAATGTATGATTGAGAGAAGCAAATTATATCTGGAGCGACAGTTGCTGAGAAGCAGAGTTGGATTCACTTTCTGTACTTAAATTCGTGCCTAATAATAATTATTACGATAATCAGTGAATTGTTATCTTTATTATATTCTACATACACACAATATAGAGTCGCTCGTCAGATATTCAATCTGTATTTGCAACCTTTCTGAGTCGGAATTTTTAAAAACTATTTTCGATAAACTCTCGTATACTAATCATTATCATTATCGACACCAGCAAGTTTTACATTTTTCGCAGCTATCAATGTTATTTGTAATTAAGTAAACAAATCGTATATTAAAAATGCAATATTCATATAAAGTTTCGTATATAATTGAAGTACAAACAATTGCAAAGCAAACCTATTGACTCCACTCCATGTAAGCACTCAATATTCAAGTTAATTCATTATAGGGTTATTCATTTTATGGTTTCGAAAGTAAAGGTATATAAAATATTCATGTGATTGAGATTTCGATCAAAATACAATAACATGATGAGTGATTGTTCAGATTTTATTAGGTGAAAAAGACAACATGATATTTTACAATAAGGAAGGTATGTATTTAAAGTAATTAATGATGACTTATTGGAATATAACTAGCAGCAGCTCAGCGAAAATGATAAAGTTATAAAAATTATAAAGAACGTTCGCATAAACACGATTATTAGGTTCGGATCCATAGGTCAGTATTTCGTTATTTACAAAAAAGTTCGAGTGTATCAAACTGCTAGACCAAATCCTAATAAATCTTTGTGTTTGCAATGAACTTCCGGCAATGGTGAGACTTAACCACTGATTAAAAATACATCTTATCATTAAAGATAATTCGATATTATATTTCATGCCTTTGATAACAGTTTTCTTTGTTCTTACACTCTTATTTATGCCAAGAAAAACTCTACTCTATTTCTGATGTTTGGATGAAGACGATATGCGTGTAGGACTTTAAAAAAACGTAAGGACTATTTAGCCTATAAAAAATAAACAACACGATATAACGTTCAACATCATCTCTTTTTTTGGTCAAACTTTTTGTCTATGCAAATGTTTTTATTCAAAGCGGAGTGGTTATCGATAGTTTTGATCGTTTTGAAAAACTATGGCCACCACTATTAATCTCTATAACGCTTCTAATAACAGAATTACAGATTTTTTTGGATATATTTAAAATTAGCACTAAATTAAAATTGTTTGCACTTACCGGAGCGGTATGGTTTCTTGCCTATAAATATTAAAAGAAATTAATTAGTATGTATTTAAACCATTTTTATAATTACGATTAAATTATGTACAGCATAACTATATTTATATACATATACTATTTACATATACATATACATATATTTACCTATATATATATCACAGATCGTGAGGATTAGTATTAAATTAGTTTTTGTGGAAGTATTTTACAATAAAAGATGATCCATAGTTATAAAATAATCATCAAAAAGTAAATTTATAATGTATTCATATTCAATGATTTTTTTAGTCAAAAATTAATCATGTATAGTAGCAATAGCCACAAGTAGAACCCTAAAATAGCATTCTTCTTCTTGTCGTATGCAGCCGTAGAACTTGGTTTGCAAGCTATATACATTTCCATATATATTATATATACTCTCGTATATGTAGAAGTCAAATCAAAGTTAAAAAAACTTCGAAGTCATAGTGACAAAGTAACAAAATGACAACAATGTAGAAAAGTCTAAGTCCTATTCTCTGTTCTGTCACTTAACTATAACACTGGTTAAGGTTTTATTTGTTACTCTTTATTGTGTACAGGATACTAAATGAACTAATTTCTGTAAAATATTTTTATTGTGTTTTAATAATAATAATTCACATTGAACACTAATATAATAACTTACAGCAGTATTAACAATAAAAAGTCCCTTAAAAAAACATTTTTTCATTTGGCCAGATGTCATGCCCATACGGTCACTACATGCTCCTTGCATATTCAATTTGTGGAGGTTTACCTTAAAGTCGTCCCCGGTCTTATTTACAAAAATGCAAGTGTTTTTAATTCAAGGGTGAATTTGAGTTTCTCTTGTCGCAGAGAATAGTTGCAAAAATCAACAAAAATACGAATACAGAATTGACCTAATTGGTTGGAGATGTGTTGAAAATAAGTCGTTCACGTGAATATTAGGGTCCTACGACCTACGACAATACAAACATATACACAACGTCTGCAAGTAAAGGACTCAACATGAAAACATATGCGCTAAAACTTAATAAAGTGCAAAGAATTGCTAAAAATACTTTTTTGATGAGGAGTATACACGTTACTTCTATTTAACTATACACATATATGTTAGGTGGATGCGACGAAAAGCAAACTATAATGTACAAAATATATAATCTTATTAAATCGGAAAGCTGGAAAATTACGAGACCTCCTCAACATTTCAATTTTTCTTAAAAAATTTAAAACATAAAACAGATATTCCAGATAATATAATAAGGTAGTTCGTTATATTCCCAGATACTTGCCAAAATCCACTAGATAATGTCAGTCAATCTCTTTTATAAGAAAAATGCAAATCGTAGCAAACAATAAAGAGCGGAACAATAAAGTTGTAATCAGGATAAAGTAAAGAATGATAAATACATTTCTTACCTATTCTCTGAAAAAATAAATCAACTGTTCTTACTAAAGAAAGCTAAGAATGAATATGTCAATGATTTCAATCTGTATCTCCTAAAGATTTTTTTGTACAGTAAGCGATTTTATATAATATAAAAATTGATAGCTTATGATTGTTCCACGGAGTGAAATGGAAGAACTAGAATATTCATAATAAACACATTTTTTGAAAATCCAAAAAGCAACTGCATGTTAAAGTACAAAGTAACTAAAAATATATTAAAAAAGCAAGTATATTTTTTGCTGACACGAATAGTTAATACCATATTCTGAATTATCATAGATAAGAAGGACTAAGAGTGTTCATAAATATTATTAGAACTGAAAAGTATATGTTTCTCTAGCAAAAAAAGGGACCATTCATTTTCCTATCACTATTACTATGTTATGATTTAACTTCATTTTAAAACGCAGATTCATTTATTTTAAATGAAGATATAAATTACGCAAATTCTGAATGCAACTCTGCGCAAAATGAATTTTCAATAAGAATTAAGATAAGAATACGAGGAAATAATGTTTGTTTTAAAAAGGAAATTACCTTAATTAGACAAATATAAAGTGAAGAAATTTGAAATTGTAGTGAGAACAGTTTCGAAATATCTTAATTTATTTCATGTATTAATGAACATAAATGTATATGAACACAACATACGAGTTCGAGGTACTCCAATAAAATAAAAATCGCATAACTACAGTACAAATTTTAAAAATATTAAAATGCAGCTGGTTAGCACAAACTTTAAGAAATAATCGCCACTTCGCCACCAAACCGCTGACGTTACAATTCTCCTTGTTTATGCAATTATCATCCACAACCTGGAAACGTTTTGGCAAGCAACTCGGCGGCTTTTGCTGATTTACGGCAAAGGACGTTGTTATTTCAGAAGATTGACATTTGAGATAGCGCCAGGAAGTGGTGTTGCCTGTTAACTGTTAAGTGATGCGATTGCCTTTAGTGAACAAAATCAAACACAAAAAAAGAAACAAAATTTTGACAAAAATTGTTGCCAAAATATTGTTGACCCAGTTGTGGCTTTACACATCGGTTGATTGGTGTTGTTAGTAATTATTTACAGCCAAAATAAAAACGTAACGGGAAAAGTATAACAAAAGCGTTATGGTGCAGTTGGAAAAGTACATTCTGACGTGATTTGTGATTAACAGTCTTGCATGCTTTTAAATTAAACTTGTAATAAAACAGTATGCTTTTTGACGTTTTGCCAAGTCAGTATTTGCCAAAGTTCTATTGTATACCAAAGACTGTTAACTATTTGAACCTAAAATATTGTCATGCTAAAATGCATATATTAGTAAGTGAATAATTTGTAATTTACCGAGTGACCAATACAAATGCATTTACATATTAAAGAAATTTGCAATTCAAAAACTGTGATTGGCTGAAGACAACTGCATGAAATGAAGCTGTTAAATCTTAAATGACACACAGAAATGCTAAAACAGAGTTGTTAAACTACATTTTATATTCACCAGAATCACCACAAACGAATTAAGCCGCAACTGATCCTAATTATATGACATCAATGAAATTTAATTTAATGCAAACCTGTTAATTTATTACATAAAAAGTTTTTCTAAATGAAAACAAAAAAGTTAGTTATATCAAAATATTTTAAAGATGAGTAATGCAACAAGTGGCAATATATAGTGGCCGCATTGAGCAAATATGTTAAAAACTCAGTTCCATACAATTTATTCTTTGAAAATTATGGTTAATTATTTTTAATGTTTATGCCATAATTATATTTATTTATTTTGTTATTTCAATTTGATTTTATGTACAATTTTGAAGTGTTGTTTCACTGTCCACATGCATTCCACAAATAAGCAAATAAATCCAATCAATGCTTTGTTTGTTTCATTTTCATGTCGTTTCACTATTTCATTTCTTCGTTTGGGCGTAGCCACAAGTGTATTGTAAATTAGTAATTTGTGCTGTTGGTGCATCTCATTTTGTTTTAATTAAATAATTTTAATTTTATTATTTAAGTTATTATATTCTTGACAAAGGTGCAAATAAAAGCGCACCTTACTTGTGTGTTATAAAATGTATCCGACTACGATAATCGGACGTAGCTATTTTCTATTTCTTTCACTGCTAATTGTGGGTGTGCTCGCTCAATATGAATGGCAAGCGCGAGATCCTTTTGATGAAATAAAAGTTAAATTTGACAAAGTAAATGGTGACAATTGTCTCATTCAACATGACAACGATTTATATATGCCCGAAGACACTGTGTCGCATAAACCGGACATTAAGGAAATAAACATAAACCCAATTTTCCCAAATCGTACCGCGCTGCTTCACCTGCATAACATGGCATTAAGTCGCAGCTTCTTTTGGAGTTACATATTGCAGTCACGTTTTATACGCCCAGCCATAAACGATACCTATGATCCCGGCATGATGTACTATATGCTATCGACTGTTGCAGATGTGTCAGCTAATCCACATATAAATGCTTCAGCTATATATTTTGCACCCAACAGTTCATATTCACCAACTTATCGCGGTTTCTTCAACAAAACCTTCCCACGCTTTGCACCGCGCACATTCCGTTTAGATGATTTTAATGATCCAATACATTTGCAAAAAATTTCGACTTGGAACACTTTCGATGTGCGTGACTTGGGTGCTTTTCCGCCAGAATCTATGTCGAAAGATTACACCAGTGATTTGTATAAGATAAATGAGTGGTATGGCCTGTGGTTACCTGATGACGTGGAAGGGCGACATGACACAAAAACTACTTATCAAGTCGAAATACGTTATGCAAATAACACAAATGAAACTTATACATTTCATGGTCCGCCGGGAGCTGATGAAATTCCCGGACCAGTTAATTGGACAAAACCATATTTTGATTGTGGACGTTCAAATAAATGGATGGTCGCTGCTGTAGTTCCTATTGCTGATATATATCCGCGTCATACACAATTCAGGCATATCGAATATCCAAAGTAAGTACCAATATATATAAAAATATATAAGATAAAAAGATGAATAATGTTTTGTTTTGATTTAAAGATATACTGCCGTGGCTGTGTTAGAGATGGACTTTGAGCGTTTAGACATAAATCAGTGTCCGAAGGGAGAAGGTAATAAAGGGCCGAATCATTTTGCCGATACCGCTCGATGTAAGAAGGAAACTACAGAGTGTGAACCGTTACAGGGTTGGGGCTTTCGACGTGGCGGTTATCAGTGCAGATGTAAGCCTGGGTATCGACTGCCTAACGTCGTAAGGCGTCCCTACCTAGGCGAGATAGTAGAAAGAGCTCCAGCTGAGCAATACTACAATGAATATGATTGTCTTAAAATTGGATGTAAGAAACAACATTTAAAACATTTGAAAGCTAAGGGACTTCTGTTTCGTATAACTAATATTTCTTTCTACAGGGGTACAGAAAGTGCCGATACAATGGGAACGTGCTCCATATCATGTGCGAGAAAAATACTTAGATCTGCATCCAGAGTACCGTAACTACACAACAGGATCACGATCCTTGCACTCTGAAAACATTAATATTGACCAAGTGTTGAAGTTCATACACGGTGTCAACTATCGCACTTGTAAAAAGTAAATGAGTTACATTTACCTATTTTAATTGACAATATTACTATTAATATTATAATTATAATTATAGTTTCCATCCACAAGATTTGATATTGCGTGGCGATGTCAGCTTTGGTGCTGCAGAACAATTTGAAAACGAAGCGAAAATGGCTGTGCGTCTTGCTAATTTCATTAGTGGTTTCCTTCAGGTAAATCTTTAGGAGAATTTACAAAGATTGCTGCATCATTTAACAACACTAATTGAACATTATTAAGTACTAACAAATTCCATAAAAAAAAACTTCCAAAGTAGAAGCTCTTGAAGTGTAAATTATAATTTTTCACGCGTTTTCAAGATACTCAAATTTCTTGCAAAATCACTTCAAGTTTATCTATTTGCTCATTGTGGTACTTCATAAAAATTATGTATGCAGTGTCAAAGCGTTTCAAAATGCTAAATTCATTTATTTAAGGACTTGAAAAACAAGTCACAAACAGTTTATTTGCACAAGTTACTAATATGAATAATAAATGATATGTACGTAAAACCTGCATTTATATAATAAGAATCCTAGAAATCAGCATTTTATGCAAATAAAACAGAAATTAGAACGTTGAATCCTGTAGAACAAGTTTCATTTAACATAATAGACGAATGAAACAAACCACTATTCTTTAGAAACTTTTTGACACATGCACATGTTTGAAATACAAATCTCCACGCGATTCCTCTTACTTTATCTATGATGAAAAGTATTTGTTGTAATAAGTAATGTACAAATTGTCTCTTTTGTCTCTTGCAGATTTCTGATCCGAATGAGGTATATTCAGGCAAACGTGTGGCCGACAAACCTCTGACCGAAGATCAAATGATTGGCGAAACGCTCGCTATTGTTATTGGCGATTCCAAAGTATGGTCTGCTGCTACCTTTTGGGAACGTAATAAATTCACGAACCGTACATACTTTGCACCCTATGCTTACAAAACTGATTTAAATACGCGTAAATTTAAAGTGGAAGATTTAGCACGTCTAAATAAGACACATGAAATCTACACCGAAAAAAAATATTTCAAGTTTTTGAAACAACGGTGGTCGACAAATTTCGATGATTTAGAAACTTTCTACCTAAAAATGAGAATACGTCACAATGAAACAGGTGAATACCTGCAGAAATATGAGCACTTCCCGAATTCGTATCGTGCGGCAAGCATAAAACACGGATACTGGACTCAGCCGCAATTTGACTGCGATGGTTATGTCAAAAAGTGGCTAATAACATATGCTGTACCCTTCTTTGGTTGGGATAGTCTTAAAGTAAAACTGGAATTCAAGTAAGTAACAAAAATGAAATGAAAAGAATGAAATAGGGTTAGAAGGGATGCATTATAGAGAGTTATAGACAGAGGAGGTTATTATAATTTGTACAATTAAAAAATGTTTATTGTTATACTGATCTTATTAAGTATGGAAATTTTGGGATATCCAAAAGTCAATCAGTCACCCCTAAAAAATAAAATATCATAATAAGTTTTTTGGCAAGGGTGCATAATAGATTTGTGAAGTAATATGTAAAGAACGGGAACGGGAACGAGAACGACATCGGACACATTAAGTGGCTGTCAACAATTATATTTTAGGGGTTTTGTGTTTAATTATTTTGGGTAATTTTCAAGTGTTGACATTTAGTTTATTCATGCCAAAAAATGTTTGTTATGTTAATATGTTTATTAATTTGTCTACGTATTTCCTCCCTTTAGAGGTGTAGTCGCTGTATCAATGGACATGCTACAGTTGGACATAAATCAATGCCCAGATTGGTATTATGAGCCGAATGCTTTTAAAAATACACACAAATGCGATGAGAAAACATCTTATGTAAGTATATTATATTAGTAGCAGATAAGTGGTTAATTATAAAAAAGGGTTAAATGTAATAAAATGCTCTTATATTTTTAGTGCGTACCTATAATGGGACGAGGCTATGAAACTGGTGGTTACAAATGTGAATGCTTGCAGGGTTATGAATATCCATTTGAAGATTTAATTACATATTATGATGGTCAATTGGTAGAGGCTGAATACCAAAATATTGTAACGGACACAGAAACACGTTATGATATGTTTAAATGCCGTTTGGCGGGCGCAGCTGGTCTGCAAGGAGCGGTGTCACTTGTAATATCATTAGTTGGTTTAATACTAGTATTAATTTATAAATTTAGATAAAAATCTAACATATTGTTTTTAAACAATCCGTCCAAATATGTAATATGTTCCAAGGAATGGGCAGTTAGGACAAAGATCTAACATAAAAATTAATAACAAAAAATCTGTCCAAAAATATTAAGCATTCCAAGGAATTCAAAAAGATAAAAAATCTCCACTTCAAAACAAATTAACCAACCTTAAATAGATAAGTAGAAAGCAGCAAGAAGCAGCAAATAAACATTTAATATCATTTATTATAACAAATCCGTCCAAAAATATTATTAAGTAACATTCCAAGGAATTAATAATTAAAGATAAAGAATCCTAATTACAGAATAAATGAAATAACTACAGATAGTTACCTGTATTATAGAAACGACACAGAAAAAAAAACATTTCAATTGATTTATTAAAAATCCGTCCAAAAACAATATTAAACATTCCATGGAATGAAATATGTTTTAAAATGTAAAGAATATTGAATTCAGAATAAATCAAACAATTTCAGATGGAGAGGTATATTATAGAAACAACTTTAAGCATTACAGAAGTAACAAAGAAAACAAAAACAAATTTATTATAACAAATATAAAATAAAAAGATATTAAACATTCCAAGTAATTTAAAACAACAACGAACAACTTCATATATATAAGTGTTTGGAAACCCATTATAACATAAATCAATTGGATGAAACAATAGCCGGCGAAATGTCAAAAAACTTTTTTCAACAGATTTGCAATACAGTACAAAAAATTCAAGTTCCAAAAATAGAAAACAGCTCTCATAAACTCAAGAATAAATAAATAAACCGATGAAGATCGGAGTAAGAAAATCTAGAACTATTCTTTGCAGTATTTAAAGATCCTAGATATATGAATAATTAAGGAGTATATCTAGAACTATATGAAACACTCTTGTCTGACATACTAAGTAAATGTTAGAAAATTTGATTTGCTCAATTTTCACCCGCACTCCACTTTTTTTACACCAATAAAAATGCTAACTAACAAGGAATCGTATATATATTAATTATGTGACAACAAAAAAAGCAGCAACAGCAAAGAATCATCATTATTGATATATATCTCTCCCCGAACAATGCCGTCTTTTATGCAAGGCGATTAAGTTGTAGACACAATCTATTACAAAGCATCTAGTTATTTGTCAGTTTTTCATTCAGAATGGAATAAAAAATGTTAAAATCAAGAAAAGCGCAAGTAAAGAAATATGAAAAATGAAAAATGAAAAATGATGCCACAGCACCACCTCAAACATAGACTCAAGTTACTCATTCATGCTCTCCTCAACAACAATAATTGGCAAAACGGCGCAAAGCGCAAAACGGAAATTCCTATGTCAACAAAAAATGAAAACAATTTTTTCCTATATTTCCTATATTTGATATGTGAATCGTGTATTGTGTATATCTTGTATCTCAAAACTACAAAGATTCATGTTAATAGGCATGAAAGATAACAGCTGTAGCTCTGCAAGCGACAGCTCACGAAACACACTGACCGACACTGAGCGACAAATTCAATTCAACAGATTTAACAGATTCAACAGGCAACAGGCAGAGCAGAGGCAGGAAGGATGAAAAACCTGTTAATATCTAAAAGTGAAAAAATAATAATAATTGCATAGCTACAGCTAAGCCTTGGCGATATTGTGGCTGTTTAGATTGTTAAGGGTGCGCTTGAGCACAGCCGCTTTTTTACTGTCCAAATTAATAAACTACTAAAAAGTCTAATGCGACACGTCCGTCCAACACATCAAAACTGGAGACAGGGTTGAAAAGTGTGTAGCTTCTTATTACAAATTTTTGCACACATTTTTTCTTAAAGGCGAATACTGCAGATACAAAAAAGCAGCACCCGTAATGCAAAGCCGTTGCCAAACCAAGTAAAAAAGGAGAATCTCGAGGAACGGCTGCAAAAAATTATACTTTAATATTTATACGTCGGTCGAATTGCATGAATTAATTTTTTTTTTTTGGTTTTTGTTTTTTTGAGGATATAAAGGATATATAGTTGATCATCATTAATGGACACATGAAAACGGCGTAATTTTACTTTATTATCTGTACCCTGAGAACTTTTTGTCACAATATATACAATTTTTTATTTTAAATTCTAATGGCGATGATGATTTAATATAAAAAAAATTAAAAAATTGCAAACCAGTTCGCCACTTGGTGCGTAAGGACATCATTGCTAGGAGAAATAAAAAACAAAAAATCTTGCAAGCAGTAGCTGTAGCTGAGTGTGTCGATAGTTGCATTAGCGAAATATCGCGTCTGTTGTTTTTAAATATTTTCACACATTTTTCATAGTCATAGTCAATAAACGGTCACAATAGTTGATCGGCAAATCGGAAAGCGGCTATTGAAAAGCAGTAGAACGAGTACCTCCTCCTGAACGGGTCTGAATATTTTTTCTCATTCATTTCCACAAACTTGTTACTTAAATACTATCTTGAAGTATCTAATTTTGTATTATCTTTAATCTGTAATGCTTTGTATTGTAAATATTTGTACTGAATAATTGGTGTTCTTTGATCTTGAATTGTTTTACTAAACTATAAACTTTAAATACTAACGACTAATGTCCGTCCAATTTTAAAATTATAGTCTCAACTCGAATAATCAACGTTTAGGAAATATATTGTGCCTTTTTATATTTTTAAAATACAAATTTTATTATACATGCAAATATATATATATTATATTATATTATATTATATTATATTATATTAAAAAATTTTTATATACGCTATGTTGTAGTAAGAAAATTAAGTATGTTTTTAGATTAAGAAAGATTTGTTCGCAAATACAATTTATAGAAAATTTATATTTCTAATAAAGACAAATTAAAATTATATTATAGTTAGTAATTCTTAATTTATATTTGTATTCGTTTATGGTATAACTATATAATTGTAAATTGTTATAACGTAAATAGTTCTGTGATAGTTAACTATGTTCAAACCTTTTGACTTTGTTATGTATTTATTTGTATTTGTTATGATTCTTCTTCAATATAAATTACTAAAAATTGAGAATATTTGACAATTTAGAAAAGACAATATTAGGCAGTTAGCTGATTCAAATAGAAATTAGAGTAAGAAAGTGATGATGCAGTGCCAAAATGTATAATATCGAAGGATGTTATCATTTCTTAATAACAAAAATACATATCATATATGTTTAAATAATATATAAATATAATATATATATATATACATAATATAATATATATATTTAAATAATTAAATATATTATTGAACGACCTTAAGTTTATTCCAACAGATGTGATTTTTCGTTAGAGTCCCTAATGTAAACAAAAACTGCAATAAAAAAGCTTGTTTATAGTGAGACTTTGTTATTAGTTATTATCAATATAGTGCTCCCCCGCTAAAGTGATATCTGGCTAACATCAACACAGTGGACACTTAATACTGCAATTAAATGTCAATAAATTTTCAAAGAATAGTAAAAATGTTGAGCTTAATTATTTCACATTTTTAACTAAACACTAATAACCTATCCTAATCCTAATTAATTTATATCCTAACTAATTACCTCAGCAATTGTAGTGGCTCATATAATTAATGTTGATGTGTTAGCATAGCTAATTCAGATCTATAAATCAATACGCTTAATTTTAGATTTGGTGCCAAAAATCGACGAGTTCTAACGTTTTAATCTTCTCGAAACCAAATAGTCTAAATAGAAGTTGATAACAACAACAACGACAACTGTCATAGACTCTACTAGCGATCGGGGCTATTCAGACATATAAGTGCCGTACACTATCTCCAACTCTGGTTACAACAAAAACTACATAATATTTTTAAACTAGACTTCTAATTTTTGAAGAAAAAATTTGAACTATCAAATTATGTCAAATAATGACAGATTTTGATTTCCTAAATTTTTTCATTTTTTTTTTTACTTTTTGTATCGTTTTTGTTTGCGTTATATGTAAGTCCCCATTTCACAATGATTAAAGCAGTCCCTAAGTGAATGCTTAGCCTTTCCGTAATGAAGTCTTTATTGTCGACGGAACAAAATATTAAGCTATATATTAGCTTTAACAACGAACGGTGCAAGTGGGAATGAGAGGGTAGTTAAAAGGGCTACAAATTTATTTTAGCAATTATTATATAATATATTACATGATTATTATATAATTCATTATATAATTAATATGTATGTTATGTAGTCCTTACATATATAATTATGTATTATTTATATTTTTAATTAAATAAAAACTAAAGCGAAAATTGGTGTACTTACCATACTTGGTAACATAGGTCTTGCGATAGTAGAATTCCTCCGGCGAATACATCTTCGTTCTTGCGTCTACAATATAATTTGAAACAGTATTGAAACAATGCGCATGTGTATATTCAGAACGGTTAAAGGGACGCCACGAAAGACAAAAGTTTCTGAACACTTCTAACGTCTCAGTCTGGCCGCAATATAATCAATTTTCAATAATTTATAAAAAATTTTACCTTTTTTTTGTTTTAGGTTTTAATTTTGTAGAATTTTGATTTTTGATGCTATCTGCTTGAAATTTTGTTTGAAAATGATTTTCTATAGTTCAACTTATGAACATAGATTTTTTAAAAATATTTTCGCCTACTCTTTTTTTTTCTCTATACAGGAAGTAAGAAAGTAATAGATTAGTGATTGTTAGCATGGATTGAACAAAGAATTTTTATTTATTTTTGGGGTTGATTTGAAACAAAATAGATGCATTTAGGTGAAATATGATATTCAATAGTCATGGATTTCAAAAGTCACAGATCCTTTCTTAATCACTCCCAAAATTAAAGTAAATCTAATTTTGCAATGATAAAGTAAGAGATGAAACGTGCAGAAGCAACCATATAAATAGTTGTACTAGATTTTCAGTACCGAATACTTGAGTCTACGAAATGCACATAGCACCTCATATGAAGTTATGCGATTCTACTTACTTTTTCAATTATCACTACTTCTTGACTTTTGACTTCAAACGTTTCTTCCACCGCCAAAGTAAATATACTCAGTGGACTCGCTGATAATTTATTAAATTTTCACTTTTCGTAAATGAAAATATAACTGAAAATTTAAATTAAAATTTAAACTGTCAAATTTAATTATCAATGTTTACTAAAAAAAATAACAAATTTTTGCTTGTTACTGAAATTTTTCCGAATTCTTAAAAAAAATGTGATGTAATGTTAATGAAGCTGTGAGTCACAAAACGTACTCGGATGAAAATAAGGATCCGAGTATTGTACAGTAGCTTCTTTGTTAAGAACAATTGAAAATCTGGAACTATATTACGAATTGGTACAAGATTTTTAGAAAGTGGCCCCATTTTCACAAGAGTGGAATTTTAAGTAATGAATGCACCATAAGAATATATGTGTTTCATAAGAATATATTTTCTGATAGAAATATGGGCGTTTTGTCATTTCGTAAGAAACGTTCAGTATATTTCATTGTTTATATTCATATAATATATAGATGTATGTTTTTTTTGTAGCGACTGGGTGCACCTTTTGAAATACTTTGCTCTCGTTGCTCAAGTGTTATCCTTCACTTCCGTGTGGGAAGAAAACAAATCAAGTAAGAAACTAGTACTAAAACTACATTGGCTGCAACAAACATATATAATGTGGTTCTATGATTTTATATTGACTTAAAAAACGTTAATAAACGTGTGTATATATTTATAATGGGCTACTTACGAAGATACTTTCATGTGTTACATATAACACATGTATGTATGCATTCCAATTAAGTTTAATTGTGGTTACACAACTGTTGACAAGGAGAATTGGAGATTATTCCTGAAAGAGATTATTGAAAGAATGAGAGACTGAATATATTCTCCAAGAGCTCTAGAGACAATATAACAGAAGGTAATTCAATAAATTATTCAAGAGAATTCAATTTGAATTCTTCATAACATATTCCTCATTCAAAGACCTAAGCAAACATTATGCAGTATTTATGTTGTGTTGTGTTAGCGATATCACTAAAATTTTGAAATGGATCTCAATTAACTACAATATTTTTCTTTAATTTACTATTACAATGTATAGTATATACATCATTATTAGTACTATAGTTATATTTCAGTCAAACCATTTATTTTTACATTGAATATTATATATGCACACTTCTTTGTTAGTAACCCACAATTTGTAATTAAGTTTTTAAACTATTTAACTTACTTACTACTTACTTCCAATGTTACTATAATAAGTAATTGTAAATCAAGGGACCTTTACTCAATTAAAACTGGACAAGAAAAGGAATAGAAGTAGATATTCTCTATGAATATGCGGTCAAAGTATTATATATATGCAAGAGAGAACAAGGACAAAGTACTCACAGTAAAAGTAAAATAAAATATAAGACAGGATAAGGTCTAATAATAATAGTAAATAATAATTCAATGTTAGTGTGGTTTTGATTAATGGCGAAACAGTTTAGACGTTTCTAGTCGTAAAAACTAGCTTTCTAGCTAAAGGGGGTTTAACATGTGTTTCAGTTTTTTAACTTATTTTTGTCTGAGTTTTACAAATTTCAGACTTAGGGAAAATGTTTCGCTCTTGGCAATAAAACAAATTATTATTGTACTTACTGATTTTATTATTAGTTTGACTTCAATCAAATGATTTTCTGCAATCTTCCCAGTTTTTTGTAGATTCCTTTTACTTTTCAGGTACTTACCTCATTTTGGTGACTAATCACCTATCAACTAAGTTATTAGATTCTCTCTTGTTAAGGTTCTAAGGTTCAAAAATTAAAGAAATTGTCAAATATTTATAAGGAAATTAAAAAAGATAAATTTATTTATTTATAAAATATATAAAATAATTATGTTAACTATATAAATATATAAATATGTACATATAATAATTAGAACAGTTTTAAAAATAAATTTTTTTTCCTTCCTATTAAATACAAAAACTGACAATTTTTATACAGTTAAAGTGGAATAATTAATCGTTTTAATTAACATAGTATAATTAGTTAAATATTTATAATGTAATATTTTTCAATAAATGAGTAGAAATCCGGGGCAATAGATATTTTTATTGCCTTGCATTGTGCCAAGATGAAATTGGGCACTGGTGCTTTTATATTTATCGCTGTAAGAATGTGACTTAAATATTTCTAATGATTTAAATAATAATTCGAATAGCTTTTAATTATTAAATAATTACAAATTAAATTTTATGCAGTGATAATTTGCTTCGTTTATATATAGTTGCTATATATAAACAAAGATAATTGTTATCATAATTTAATTTGTTTCAATTTGAGAATTGTTATAAATATAAATATATATAAATACTGTTTAATTACATTAAGTGAAACTTATCTCACAATACGATAAATATTTACTTAATATAATTGAACGCGCAAATCAATTACTTTCTAACAATATTGTCGCGGATTCAGGACTATTTTAGCGTAACCTAGGCCGACCTTATTTATTGAATATCTTTTAACATTTTTATTTTGTTATATTATTTTACAATTTTATTATAATAATTTTTATTTTATTGAATTTTGTTTATTGCGATTATTATTATATATTTTACAAAAAAATTATTTTCAGTCAAACTACACTACAACAGCTTTCCTTCCTTAGCATTAGGATTTCTAATATTGAGAGGATAATTAAGTGTATTGTATATATATTTATATTTTATGTCCTAGCTAATTATATTGAATGACTATTTTACTAATGATAAATATTGACTCAATATAATATAATGTGTTTACACGTATTATCCATAGCTAGTATGTATGAAAGTGTTACAATACACCTGAAAGGTGTAGATATTGCAAGACTCATACCGTACCTTCACTGAAGTTAATACATTATATCTAGACTACTTTCTAAATGTCAATCATCCAGATATAATATATTAAGCCAGCTGTAATATTAATGTATAGAAAAGATATAAATGTTTATTATATATGTTTGCTTTATACCAACAGTTATTTGAGCTTAGAAATGCGTTTTAAGTGTTATTATATTTTAATGTCAATTGTTAAAGTTTTAGACTTTTAATCTTATAATCTATACATTTAGAAAATTTGACAAATGTTTACAATTACAAAACATCTAGTTACAACACGTACACTTAACTACTTACATTAATTACTAAATACTTAATACTAGTTTACTTTTTAATGGTTGATTAATAATTTATCACTTTTTTAACTTAAATTAAATTGAACTAGCATCTAAATCGATTGATGTGCGTGTGAACACATGGGTTCCATTTAATCAATCGGTAGCTGCATAGTAAACGACAGTCGACTTACGCCGAAAACCTAAATTAAAGAATGAAGTTTCTGACTTTTTACGTTCCCGTTCGTATTCATTGCCGAAATAGGAGAAGAGTCGTCCGCCACCACTGCCTACAGGCGGAGCACGTATGCTGCTGCTATAACTGCTCGTAGGTTGCCCTGAGGAAGTTGAATAATTTGAATGCTGTTGGTGATGGGAGGTATGTTGATTAGCGTTGCTATATAAAAAGCCAGTGGGTGAAAGATCAGTCATCTCACACGGCCCGAGGGTGAGCGCAGATGGGATTTTATATAGCCCGTCCTGTAGTCTATAATGGTTGGATGATGACCCGCTAGCGAGCCGCTGCGAGGTCCGCGACCCCATCTGAATTTGACGATTCATTATTTCGTTAAGCGTTCATGGTTTTTTGTTAAGTTTTCGATAAAAAAATTATATAAAAATAAATATTAGTATATTTTTTTAAGAATTAGTAAAAATGTGTAAAGGAATAAATAAGAAAAATGTTCTAATGAAAATTGTATTGAAGCCTCTTGTGTCGTTTTGAACGTATGTGCCTTAATATAATCAAAAATTTGTCATTTTTTTAAAACAAACTGGAATTGTTTCTAATTTTTGTAATGTGACATTATAGATACTACTATATATATTACTTTATAATAATAGTAAAAGTCATTCGTTTTTACTCTGCTTTGGACAGGAACATAGTGTGTCTTTGATGATTTTGATTCTTCTATAATGATATTAGCCAAGTCCATGGGTATAAGTAAAGTTATTATGAGATCAACAAAGACTGACGTCTTGAGCAATAAAATAACAAATAATGGATTATTTTATAAAGCTAAACTTTAGGAGTTATAATTTTAGTTGAAGTTCTTAACAGTTAATGAATGGTTTGTTGAATATCGTTTTTAAAGCAGTGATGACACATGTCTACAATATATGGGAATATCTTGAGTTTGGTTATTGAGTTTATTACCTAAGAGATCACACATATCTACAATATATGGCAATATCTTAATGGAATTGATTTCAGATTTAAACGCAGCATTGAACATTGTTGGACATAATCGTTAGAATATGATTATGAAAATGATGGAATATATTAATGATTTATATCGTAAAATGTATTTGCAAACAATATATTTAAAAATACGTGATAAGCTCTTTCTTTTCTTATATCTCTCAAATTTATAATTAAATACACTTTAAATGGAATTGCCTATAATATATTTCTTTCCAATTCACTTATTCAGTTATAGCAGAAGACACATTTGTTCTAGTTTTGGACACTATCGTCCAGTACTATTATTATATTATGTTGCGGCTAGTTGAGTCAGTGCACCCGAGCACTTTTACTCTCTATTAACTGCGAGGTTTCTTCAAAACCCCTCTTTGCGCCTTGACTGGATTATTGTTTATCACTTCATCAGACTAAGCAATAATTGACCTCGGATCTGCATATCTCCCCGAGGAGCCTGTAACCATTCTGAGATTTGATAACGCGTTATTAGTAAGTCTGTCAGATTTCGCAAATAATTTCAGGGCTCTATCCTTTATGTATTTTTTGATGGAATCAATCTTGAGGTCTCTGAGGATGTCATTCGTCCTAATGTACCAAGAAACATCGTCCAGTACTATTGACTCTATTACGTACTATATATGCTAAGCTATGATTAATTATATCATTAGTTTCTTAATATATTCTAATTTGCTAGAGATATTTACTATTCAGTAAAATTTATAAATTTGATTGTAGGTAAACTCTAAATGATTAAAATATTCCATTTACCTATTTTTCTGTTTTTTGCCATATATTTTCAATGGTATGATGAGTTATATCAGAGTTAAAAAACCCTAAAGTTATATCATTGAAATTTATCTCCTATTTTGACATTATCAACTATTGTGTGGTTATGTTGTATGTTATATTAACTCGTACGTTGTCTCTCAGTATAAACTTTATTAAAATTTAACTTTTCATCAGATATGCTCTAGTTAAGAACTGAAATAATTATTTAAGAGAGCGGTGTGAACGCGTTAATTGTAAATCACTTAGATCACTGCCCTTTCTGTTTAGGGCAGTAACGCAAAACCGAGAAATCAAAAATTCACTTGGTAGGGCTGGTCTATTGCACTTACTGATCGGTCATATGACACTTTATAGGTAACTGTTATTTTAGAACGGAACCTTTAATAGAACAATAATCTTGGCATCTATTGGGGAATATAGACCATATTTGATGGTGGTGAAAATTTCAAAGAATCATGGTTTAAATAAGTTAAAGCGTCACACAAATGTATAAAAAAATGACAAATTTTGACTTTTGACATCTAAGCCGCCTACTTTATATAATTTTATTATTCTATTAATCAATTATTTTCTTAATCCTATTGTGTTATTATAAAGTAAAAATGTGTTCCATAAAATTTATATTTTACAGAATTTTTACTGATTTACTGATAAAAACAATTTAATAAAAAATTAATTAATTGAAACTTAAAGAGTAGAAAAATGAATTTATAAGAAATCGAAAAGCGTTATAATCGTACGAGAATTGAAAAAAAAATTACAGTGCAGAAGCCCGAAAGGATAATTAGAGTAGAGAAGCTGTAAAATATAATAGAGTATTTCATATAAAATAGGCAATTCATTAATATAAGCTACTGGTTGTTATATACAAATTAACTGTACAATACTCGATACAATTTATGCACAAACAAAAAACCAAGTCCAAAAAATCTGTGATACATATTTTTACGTATTACCATGCACTGCAATTGGATTTCTACAAAAATACTGAAAGTTAAGAAAGTAGTTAGGAAAGTGTAAGGAGTAGAGAGTAGTGATAAAGCCGGTGATTAGAAGTATCTGAGCAATATATTAGAGAACTACTAATAGTACTAATAGCATGGTAAGAAACGCTCCGAAAAGCGTTATCGCGCTATATTGGTGGGTGTATGTACAATATGGTAGGCAGTAGGCAGCGTATTTACATAGCGGCACAGCGGGTGAGCTAGTAGAACGACAGTGTTAAGGACTAAATATAGTAAGTCCTAGGCATTCGCTAGTTAAATATTTACATTTTTTGGAACCTTCTTCTGCTCACCAGTTTAATAGTAGTGGGAGCTAATTTATTGAGTTTTACATATGTTGTTGACATACTTATATAATCGTTTCGGTTTTCGATTTTTATATATTTTTTTACAATAAATTAACTAAAAACTTTTTGTATTGACGGCGCTATAGATATGCTTACGATCTGTTTTAAAATCTGTCGCGTATATTTGCTGAGATCTGCAAATTAAAAAAGGGGTTTGCTTAACACTATACATACGTACACAAAAATACAATCAAATGAATTGGAAGAAATTAATTAATTAATTAATTAAATAAAAATTGAAGTCTTTATTGTAGTTTTTGTTTTTCTTCATTTAATCAAATAAAAAATTTTTCTATAAACAAAAAAAATAAAGAAAATATAACTCCATAAGAGCTTGAATGGCTTATAACTGCTTCTTCATTTTCAACATATATGTTATGTACATTCATATAACAAAAAATGACGTCACACGTATATATACTTACCGGAAATAGTGCTTAATTTAGTGGGTTTTTGTGCGCCTGAATGTTTTTTTTTGCAAATTGAATTTGTTAAAAATTTTTCATATATGTTTTTGTTTTTTTTTTTTTGGTATCAAAATTAGCTTTGCATTTAAAAAATTGTGTCCTCTAAATAATTGGCTTAAGGGTGTTGCAAGTGCTGGTGCATGCCGCCTACCGTGTTGTGGGCGGCGAGGCGACCACAACATCTCGTCTACAAAATGCCGGCCGACTGCAGAATTATTTTTTGATTTTGTTTTTTTTTGTTTTTATAAAATTTTAATTATAATTTTATTATTAAAATTATTTAATTATTTGACGTTTAGTAAATATGGTCATTTTTTTTAATAAATTTTATGCATCGTATTTTTTTTTGTTTTTTTTTTTGGTTATTTTTGGAAAAGAAAGTGAGAGAGAAATTTTAGTAATAATAGCTAGATTAATGTGGTAAATGTTAGTTAGGTATAAGTTTTCATAATAGTATATATGTAGGTATTAATAATATATGTGATTATATTGTGTAATGAGTATTTTAGAAATTTAATCAAAATATAATGTTAATTTGATTTAAGTCAAAAACATTAAGAATTCAACAAATTACAGTTTATCTTGTGCTCTTCAAACAACGGTTAAAATATAAACATTAAAAGTTGAATTTATATTTATTTATTTGATAGATAATAAAGTTAAAATATAAATAACAGAAACACAGCAGAAACAGAAGAAAAAGTCGAAAAAATTAATAATAGTTAAAGGCAAGTTAGGCATTTGAAATCAAAATAGAGCGCCATTGGATTTTTTGTTAAAAAAAGCGGCTTGGCAATGTTTAAATATATGTGTATGTATGTGTGTGTAGATGTAGATACAAGAGGGAAATGTTTATGCCTCTCTCAATTATTAAATATTCAACTAGCAAATTACACAAAGTCCATCTTCGAGGACACGAAAAAACGATCAGAAACTGACATCGAAAGTCATGAAACCGACATGCCATGGAGCCCTTATCGTTTTTTGATAACTTATCTTGGTTCTCGAAGATGATTCTTTTTTACATTACTTTGGTTAAAGTTATGCAAATAACTGTAGAACCAGGAATACAAGTATCTTTTTAATCCTCACTAGGTAGAATATTAAATTGTGAGAAGGACGGAAATCTCATAATAAGAACCCTATGGAAACATGACATGAGAACCCTATGGAAACATTCATCATGAATATGATGACTGAAAATAAGCATATAAATCATATAATTATATCGAGGTATAAATTTAAATACAATTTGATAAGTTTAAGTTTTTAGTAATAGATTTCAAAGAAGAAAGATTGAAGATGTCAGAGAGCAACCCGTACTACATTATATATATGTTATATACTGTTTTGATTATTTGTATTAATTTTCGTATTCTTTAACTTATAAAAACTATTTCTAAAACTAACGACTGATTCTGCAAGTTAATAAGTTCTCAGAGAGCAGAAGTTCTCTAGAAGTTCTCAGGGTTGTCAGAGAGCAGCCCGTACCACATTATAAATATGTATATATATTGTTTTGATTTTTATTCCTTTTTATATTTATAAAATGTTCCACGTTTAACGTATTCTAGTCGTATTCTTTAACTTATGAAAACTGTTTCTAAAACTAACGACTGTTTCTTCAAGGTAATAAGTTCTCAGGAGCAGAAGTTCTCTAGAAGTTCTCAGGGTTGTCAGAGAGCAGTCCGTACTACATTATATATATGTATATATACTGTTTTGATTTTTTATTCATTTTTAATTTATTAAACGTATGACGTTTAACGTATTCTTTAAGTTAACAATTTTTTTTCTAAAACTTACGACTGATTCTGCAAGTTAATAAGTTCTCAGTTTTGATAAGTGAATTCTCTGAATGTCTGAGCTGTCATTAGAAGCTGTCTAATGTGTACTCTGAATATAATATTTTATTATAGAAGTATTTTTTGTAAATACTTTTGTCTTTTTATCATTTATTAAGTAAAATAAGATTTGGTTCTTCATAAGATTTGCCATTGTTAATATCTCAGCTTCTAGAAGTGATACGTGTTTTGCTTAATTCGTATAAATTAATTATTATTTGACTTACATAAATTAAAAATTATTTTGGTACTTATCTTAACAGAAACTCAAATAAAATTAATTAATTTTAATCAATTTTAATCAAATGAAAGTTTGAGAAGCAAAAGCTGCTAAGCAAGTAATAAATGAAAAAATGCAATTTAATTACAGATTAAAGTTCAAGATAAGCTGATATATTGTATTGAAATATATGTTAATATATCCGCAGTATGGTCTGTATTTATTCGGGATAAGTCACTTTTACTTATATTTCTATATATTTTCAATATGTTAACATATACACACATACACACAGTATTTACATACCAAACAATATTTTATGCATAAATCGAGAAAGTATTTAAAATATTTTTCAATAAAACAATACAAAAACAATAATTTATTTATTATAATCAAATATGTAAAAAATAAATTTAAGTTTTAGTTTCAGTTTCAGTTTTAAAATAACAGTAATGGCACTCAAGTAAGGAAACTTCAAATTAATCAAATTAATTAATAAAATTAATCAAAAAAAGGACACATTGCAATTCAGCAAAGGATAATGCAGTTGTAGGCGTAATTGAGTTCGTAGTACTTTTTTTTTGTAGTTTTCTTAGTTTTTTTTAAATAAAGTATTGGAGTATGGATATTTTAATATCTTAACCAAAACTTAAGCAATTCATTTGTAGTGTCTTCTTGGAGAATAATGCATTATACATTAGTATTAATATTCATTAAATGTAAGGAATATTTCTTTAATTATTAAGGAACAGAATTTTTCTATTCTAAACTTGTTTCTATAACTCCGTGATCTGCTTCCTGAATTCATTATCCATTTTTAATAATAGTTCGTTTTTGTGAGACTGCGCTAAAGATTGTTTTATGTGGAGAAACCTCAAATTTTGGGTGCTTTAGAAATGAACATCCATGTTATCAATATGTTGCCACCAGTTATGTGCTCTCAAGCCATCATAAATTATCCCAAATGATCTAGTACTGAAAAATACCCCTGGGGAACGATCAAATATTGTTTCATGTCTTAACTAACAAATAATTTTAAAATACAAAATTAATTGAAATCTCAATCTAAATGCGTTGATGACTATTGGAACTACGAAATGGTATATATTACTTTCTATTATTTCATAAACATAGGTATATATTATTATTATTAAAAGAAAGGATCGTGCACTGCGACCTAAAAGTTATATTATGTCCCTTAGTCGGATAACAGTGTTTCTCCGATTTCTTTAATGAAAGATAGTATAGAGCCTAACTTTCCTAGACTTGAATCCTTATGATCCATGAAATACTCTCTTAAGTGTTTCTTCCGTTGTGCATTAGTGCCGGGCACTCCCCAACCATATGGCATGCAGTTTTTCTTTCTTCTCTACAGTATCTGCAGTCTGAGTTGGATTGAATTCCTAAATTCGATAGGTTATTATTCAATCTATAGTGACTGGTCAGTAATCCGGTCACTGTGATAATTCTTAGGTTATTTTTTGATTGTGCTATGCAATCTTTAAAGCGTTTAAGGTTGTAAGCCACTAAAAGCATTTTAGATTGTGAAAGTCTTGCTAGCCTTACTTTTTCCTCTGCATCGTTCATAAGAATAGATACAGTTTCTTTGGCTAGACCACAGAATGGTTATGGGCCTATCATTTTTAAGGCCGCGTCTCTTTTTACAAGTTTATCTGCCATTTTATTGCCTTGGATAAATATAGTGTCAGATAATATTGCAAAAATTCTTATAAAATAATAATAACAGATTAAGCAGGTTTCAGTAATAACTTGTTAATCCATCTCCGAAGAGGTGATTATGGTAAATCTAATCTTAAGTACTAAAAAATTCTGTTCCCCAGCTTCAAATCTGTAATTTTGGACATTTCTTCAAAGCAATACAATAGCATTATTTTCTTAAATACACTGTAAATAATAAATTTTAATAGACAGTCTTTTGAAAAGGTTTTAAACTAAAGTTAAGGTTTAAAATATATATTTAAAGAAAAAAGAAGAAAAACATGTACAAGTATTAACCTACTAATTCAAAAAAAAGTAGAAAAAAATTCAAACAAGAAATTGAAACTTCCAAAACAAAAAATTTGCAGTTTTTGGTGTAAAACAATATTTATTATTATTATTGTTATTATTATTATTAGTAAATTGTTAATTGTTAATAATTTTAAAACTAAACATAAATAGAATTAAAAATATTATAAATAGAAAATAAAGTAGAGTTTTGCTAAACGCGATAGAAACGCCGAAACTCACCTCGCGTTGTGACCCAATAAGATGATATTTCTGCAAATATAATGAAATATCGATACCGTTTTTATATGAGGAACAATCAAAAATAATCCAAGTAATAAATAATAAAGATAGCTTGTAGTTATGTATACATAATTATGTATATAAATAGCAATTTTAAACAATTAATTACGAATATACAAAATTAAATAATTAATAAGCCAATTTCGATAGTTTTAAATCATGCATAAAAATATGGTTTTGAGTTCTTTTACGATTTTATTTCACTATATTATTTATTTATATATATTGTATATGGTTTTTATTACAAGTATTATATTTAATCTGAGCTCTTATAAAGTGGAATTGTTATACTGTGAGTTGATAAATTGTCATATTTGCAAATAATGAGGAGTAGAACTAAATATTCGCAAGTATGTTTAAGAATTAAGGACGCTTTATTTTTTTAAATCAGGATACAAAGATATATCCCATCGATTTTTTATGGCATGACCGGAATATTACATCATTCTTTCTCTACTACTAGTTCTTTAAGTCATGGAGAGTCATGGAGTTTATATACAATTATGCATATGATTATAACAAAATTACTATTAATATATGATTTACTCATCTAATGAAATACTCAGATTTTCTGTATGAAAAATTGAAAAGAGAGATAAGGAAGGAAATAAATTAGAAATAGGATGACTTAAGCAAAGGTTCAATTGTTTTAAAAGGGAATATATGTAATTGATAAAAGGTTATATTGATATATGTTTTAACACGTCGTCTTTCAAATAATTCAAACAAATCAAATTGATAAATTGTAGTATTTTCTTCAGTAATTGTCACTACATATTTGTTCAGTATAGCCATAACAGTGTTTATACCAGATTAAGGCACGCTACGGTATATCGTAATACGGTAACCTCTTCAGTTCTTGATGTTGTTCTGAACTAAAATTCTTTATTTAAAAAACCTTACCATAGCAAAGCCATACAGTTAAGAATATATTTAATTGAAACGTAACACCTTTTAGTTCCTCGCTGAACACGGATTTTAGTAGACATAATTCCTAGAAATTTAATAAGAAATTTTGTACTATACTGTAATTATGACTTAATGCGAAACTATTACCAGTGATATATTGCGAAATACTTTTCTTTTTTTTTTACGGAACGTCACAATTTTCTGAAGGCGTGTTTTGAATCATAGGTCAATAATTTATGTGGGAATTATATCTCTACATAAATTAATCAATTGTTTGTAATAATAAAATGATTAATTCAAAATAATAATAAGAAATAATAAGCAAGAGTCTGTAATGGTGTTCTCTTTTACAATATATTGTAAATAGCTTCTGCAGTCATATATTTGGAGATCATTTCTTTGAAAATATATACCGAAAGGTAAAAAATATAGAAGCCCAATTCATTCACTACTTTCATGGCCTTTTATAATATTAAGCATGTTGACTCTTGGCCAATTTAGTCATGGCCCATAGCCCAACAAAAATTTTTACTGATCATTGTTCGTTAGAAACAATGAATTTTTTTTTTTAACTGAAGATTGTTTTAAATCTATTTTAAAAGTATCATAAATTATATTCTAAATTACTCGATATGAATATAGAATGAGTAAGTGTAAATTAACAGATATGAAGTAGTAATATTATATATACGGGCACTTATAATATATACTATAAGTAGTAATTATAATAATAATTAATCTTTTATAAAATTAATCAGTTTGTTTATTGGGAAATTAATATTCAACATCATTTTTAGTTGTATCCGCTTCGGTTCGTAGTGTTCAAAGTCAACTAATTAATTAGTTAACTATACTAGCAAGTACTAATCTCTGGTATTTGCAGTCTCAAAAAATTATTTACAAATAATTAAATACAAGAAATATCTCCAATGGGTATTTAGCAATACTTGCAACAGCTGTATTATGGTCAGCCATAAATTCAATTAATTAAAATAAAATAAAAAAAATTTTTGTTGTTGTAGTTCACTACTTTTCGAAACCTCTCTGAATAATAAACTTTTAATTTTTAAATAAAAGTTTAAATCATGTGATTTTAATATATTCAAGGGTATAAATCGTTAAAAATCTATAAGCAAATATAGTTATTAAGTAAAAATACTGTTCTTAAATAAATATTTTATTAATCTTAGCAAAAAAGAGATGCAATAATCACAACTGCTCCGATCGATTGTGAGGCTAAGACCATATTCCATTTTACATACATATGATATATTTTGCTTTAACTCAATAACGATATCCGAAAATCGAAGGACAAAAAAGAACTCAAGTCGTTTCGTGGTCTACTTCGACCAATCCTTCACATCAGTGGGGCCACTTGTTGGACAGTGCGCTGTTCCAACGTCCCACCATATATTATATATTCTGTGATGCAATTCTTAAATCGCATTTTGAAATCTTATAGATATAGAGTTAGAGTTTTAAAAATAACACATTTTATGCTGAAAATATCTTAAAGCTTGAATCGAAACCACTGTGGCTACAAATTCGCCATAAAATATAACATCTTTTAGGAGATTAAGGTAGTATGTATTGATATATATTATAATAATATATATATTATATAGTATAGTAATATATATAGTAATATACAGTATTATATATATTGAGAAGCAAAGAAAGATAAAGGACAAAGGAACACAAAAATGAAGGAAATCAAAAACAAAAGAGGAAATTAAAACAATAGTGAAACACACGAAAAGTATCTTTCGCATGCGTGATTGGATATATTTTCTGTTTGTGCTTCAGTAAAAAAGCTAAGCGGTGTCTTGAAAGTGCATTGAAAAGTCAACAAAAAACAGAAGAAGAAGAAGAAGAAGACCCGCCTTTTCAAAAATCGAAAGTTGCAGCAAAAACCATAAAACAAAATAATTTCTTACATAGAACATCTATTTACAAATGATTGCAACAACTATAAATATTGTGTAGGAATACGTTTCGCTTTTTTTTTTTTTGAATTATACAGAATTATACAGAAATAAAATATTCAAAGAAAAATACACTTAACATATATATTTTGTATATATATATATATATATATATGAATATTTTAACTTTTAATGCATTTTTTATATATAAATAGTAAAATATATTATATTAATAATTTTAGCCAACAATGTAACAAACAAAATTTTGAAACTGCCAAAAAGATTACGTCTTATGTCAGTGCTAAGAAGTTCAAGATACTTATGGTATATTGTTAAAAGATTCTTTACTGAAAGTCTGCGGTGGATCAGACAGTTCGTAAAAAATACTAATGCTAATTCAGTTCAGTTTCATATTCTAGAACTGATCAGTACCGATTGAGTACGAGTATTCGCTTGAACTTCTTAGCCGCTGGATATTTGGCAATCGTATATTGAGAACCCAGTGATATCAAAAAGTACTACATTGACGTTAATACCGCAAGACTAATATACCGCAAGGCAATTGCTGTTTGAAAGAGAGCACAACATCAATAAAAAATTTTTACAATGGTACAATGGAAAAAATCGCAATTCATCTGCTTTAAAAATAATAAAAAATTATAAAAATATGTAAATGAACTCTTCACAGAAAATACATATACTTAGTTTCAAAGGTCATCGAAGTCTCAAGTATAGTTGAAGATATAAAGAAGCCACAAAGTGGTGGAAATAAATTTGAAAAGAACAAAGTATACAATAATTCAGCGCTTCAGTAAAAAGTCTCTGTTTCTTTTTTACTTTTTTACTTTTCATATTTAAAACAAAATGTATGTATATCTAATTTAAAAAAAAATGCTGCAAAAATTTTACATTAAATTTCATAAATTTTGTAAATTTTTTACAGTGTATTTTCAAGGCGCCCGGTTTTAGACGAGTATTCCTTTTGGTATTGGTTGAAAAAGCGTTAACTACAGCAGCTTCGCCTTTCAAGGATGTTTGAAAGTGTTCTTATTTTTATTTTTTATTTTTTATTTTTGACTTTTGCTTTTGTTTTTGCTTTTGTTTTAAAAAAAACTTAAATTTTAACTTTTATGGTATGTAATTATGATAGTTTTTAACGCCTACCGAATGGGGATAGTAAACCTCTTCTAATTCACAACAACATTGGTAACGCAGTATAGCACGACCACTTTTTCTGAAATACATATTTTAGGTATAGAAATGAAATAAAATTTATGATTTAATACCAAATATGAATTTAGTAATTTATTTTAAATTATTTTAATTTAGTTTAATTTAGTTTAATTTAGTTTAATTTAGTTTGGTTAAGTGAAATGTTTGAATAATATTTTTTATACATATTAAATTGATTTGATTAATGTTTAGCATTATTTATAATAATTAATTTATAAAATAAATTGATAGAAATTTAGCTTACAACTCATATACCATAATATACAAATTAATACAATTAATATACATACTTTTATATATATTAAACTAGCATAATTTTAAGATAACGCTACGATTTCTAATATTATCGGTACTTACCTTAATAGTCTTGTGATGTAATCTGGCCAGTTTTCTGGAAACATCACAAGGAAAAAGCCCACAGCTATCAGGATGACGCCTGCTAGTTTCATACCAGCGAAGGTTGCACCATACAAAACGACGTCTAGTGCTGCAATAATTAAAACCAATCAACAATATTTGGTATTTCTAGATATCTTAGCATTAATAAGTAATCTTATTTATACATATTAGAATCTGTAATTATTTAATGTGGATTGACTAATTGTGCGCAACTCAAATCGATATATTCAGATATTAAGCTGATGTCATTGACCACAGTCATGGTGAAACACTTGAGCACAATACGTTAGAAATGATGAGGTACATCTTGACCTGGATATACTGAGAGTTAAAGACAAAATTAAGAAACAAACAGACGAAATTTTAAAATGTCTATAGGAACACGTAAACATCAAAGTATGTAATCTTCTTAACATCTCAGGCCTTAATTTTTACTCCTTAAGTTGGTAGTAATATTGTAGCAGTACCGCGTCGAGTTGTGAGTAGTTGTTTTAGACAATTTCCTTTCAATCCCAAAAGACACACAACATAACCTTTTTTGTAATCAATTTAGGGTTTGAAATTGTTTTTGGAAGTTCACTGGCCTTTAAAAAAGATCACTTGCGTTCGACATTCTCGTTTTTAATCCATTTTTCATGATCCCTAATGATTTGCTTCAAAATGATTCGATTTTGTTGAAATTAAGCAGCGTTTAACTGATGGTAATTCGACCAGTCTAATTTCTTTGTCAATGCAAGATTCAAGATATGGTACCCAACTATCAAGCTGCTTTGCGTAGCCTATTATTTCTAAATTTAAAACTTTCTTGAGTGTCGGTCTTGCCTCGCTACTTGCAAAATTTTGTTGATTCTTTTAGAGACTGAACAAATAGAGCAAGATACACCGGTTTACGTTGAGGAAGCTCACTAATTTTCAAAATAATATTACTTTCTATATTTCGACAAATAACATATATATATGGGATATATGGGTATCAACACCATCTGGTAACAAAAACCACCGGATACTTACTAGCGTCATCCCATATACATACTCATGATATATACTTTTATGTGTTCTATAAATCGTATACTACTATATACTATAACTACACATTGTCTTACCTCCTGAAACTGGAACTGCGGTTATAAGGCCTAAAGTCACAAACATATTGTAAGTGACAGCTGCACTGAACTGCATTAGAATATGGAAAACTACAACAAAAATTTTGGTATTTAGAATTGCATTTTGCACATTTTTCCCCAAATATAAACATACCCAGTAATAGAATACTAGCAATCAATAAAATAGTCCAAGGCATTCTATCCGATGGCATAGTTTCTGTGCTGGTCAAATAGAGAGCAACACAAACTGGCCACATTAAAAGTGCATTTAAGAAGCCAAGCGTCGTAAATGCGAAGGCAATTTGTCCAATCGGCGGATCACCCATAACTTTACGAAACATCACCTATATGAAAAAACATATCAACATACTGATGAATAGTTTCTGATGAATGAAACTTATTATACTCACCCTGAAAACAGCATAGCCTGCTGCTGCGAGTGTTGCTAGCACAACGCCGCTGAGCGTTGGGCTTTCGGTTATGCCGTCCATGTACGCCAGCAGCGCAATGCCAGTATCACAAAGTATGACGGCCACAATCTGAAACGCAAAGTAATAGAATATAGTCAATGTACTCGTACATTTAATATCGCCAAGGGGTAATTATAATTTATTGATCAATTGAAATGGAAAACAAAATGTGAAATGAACACATCAACAATCAACAATTACCCTCACGCCCACAAATTGTTCGTGTAGAATGACCCAGGAAAGGAGGTAGACACAAGCCACATTGGTGGCAAAAAGCGCCATAGCATCGGTGGCATATAGAACACGTAACGAGAGTGTGTAGAGGTAGGTGGTAATAAGCCAGAGTATGCAAAATGATAAACAACGATTTAGAAAACGACCTAAAATTAGAAACAGAAGGTTAAATGAGAATAATCAAAGACAATTATATTTTTATGACTTTAATTACCTATTGTAAAACCGCGGTCTCGGAAGCCACGCAACACATCACCAAGTATTTCGCTTGGCTTATCACATTGTCTCAAAGATACTCTTCCCAGTACGTAGATGGGAAAAAATAAAAATGAAAAATTTGTGAAAAACCATGCTGCGAAGAATGGCGCACTGAATATGCTAGTTTGTGGTGCACTATCAGGTATGTGAAAGATTTTTGTGGCATCTTCTTCGACTTCAGTTACTCCTAATGAGTTATCACTAATGGTCAATACACCATTGCTGCGATCATCCATATTAGTGACGAGCTCTAACTCGACAGCACGACTTGATGTGGTGTCAATGTCATCGAGTATTGAGTATGCTTTGCGATTTAAGTATAGAAATTTTATACAATGCGTTGCACCAACCCATGATGCTGTTACTAGAATTGTGACGCAAACCCCAAAGTACATCTGAAAAATAATTTAGGTAGAACCTTGGACCATTTTGAAATTTTGGTTTTACCTTTTGTGCTAACTCAGAGCAACATGATTGCTTACACGCTCTAAGTCTACGAAAATGTACCTGTGTAGCATCATGACCATGCTCCGTTGTTGGTGTGTCGGATTCATTGCCACCGCTACTGCCATAACCACCAGCACCACCTAACATCGTAACACGCGTGGGTCCAACACCACCACCACCACCGACACTGATAGGACAGGACTCACGTGCATCAGGATGTATTGTTATGACCTCATTGGGATCTTGTTGACTCGATGATATTGAGTCTTGGTGGGTAATTTGCGGGTTACTTGTGTTGAGTATGTTTGTGAAACCGCCATACGGTGGTCCATTCGGTGAAGATTCACCCGTCACTACCACAGATGGTGTTCGCACCCGTTTGGGGTTGAAAATGGCGGGTATTTCTCCGTCACGGGTCATGCTATCGCTGATAGGTATGTTTTCTCTTAAACATTATTAATAAGCAGTTGAAAAAAGTAGTTGATTTTGAGCAAAACTACAAAAAAAAAAATAAAATGGTTTTAGTTGTTAGTTGTGTGTGAAAACTACTAAATATAATGAAAAAGAAAAATTCTAGGTTTTGGTAATAAGCTAAAAATAATTTTTTTCTTTATCAGAAACGTGCATCAAAACCACTCGTGGCTATGCTAATTAAGGTATTCGTAAAACCTTTAAAGGTTGCCTAGCATTTGATGGGCACCTTAAGCACTCAAATAATTTAGTATATCAAAGGTAAAAACAACATTTCTTGGCGTTCGTGTTGGGGTCATTATTCATAAGTAAACTGGCTTGAAAATTTGTTTTTATTTTGCCACTACGTCAACTATTTCAGATTCAACTTTATTTTTCTACCTTGGACGGTGTGTGGATGGCCACAGAAAAAATTTTTCGCGTGTTTTTAGTATTTATTTTAATATAATGTATTAAGTTCTTTAAAGTATTAGGTTTTGACTAAAACCAAATTTTTTTTAAACAAAAGAGTTTGTACTTAGAACCATACATGTTTATATAGTGATCAAACAAAATCGAACGCACTTGTAACGTATAAATGTGCGTCCAGCTACTCCGCACACAAAGCGGCTATTATTCGCTGAAGTAACAGCTAAAAGGGGAGAGACGAAATTTGAGAGAAATGTATGAGCTGCAAACTTTAGCTGCACATCTAACCGCTTCGGCAAGTTAACATGTTGGATTCTTATACATGCAATTGATATTCGATTAGAACAGAAAATTACTCTCATACAATTCCCAATCTCTATTTCTCATATTTTAAGCTAGAGCACATTATTTTGCTCTTCTACTTTTTTGTACATTTATGACAGAAATTTATGAATGCAATTGCTTAAAGGGGAAAGACGAAATATGATAGAAATGTTTTGCGATATGAGCTGCAAACTTATGAGCATAACTAACGAATATGGTAGCTAAGAGAAGAAAATTAATTGAGTTTTCATAGACAATTATATTTAATTGTTTTTGCTAAAACATTAATCTTTAAAAATTTATATGAATATATGAATATATGAAAATGTAATAAACAATATCAATTCTTGATGTAAAGATATTTAATAAATTTATATATATTATTTGACAATTTGCAAATTATGTTCTATGTTCTATGCTCTATGGTGCACACCTTCGCACCATAGAGCAGTCGTCACTGCTGTAGACAGACATAAGTTTGGAGAGAGAAAGTTTGGATTGCGTAAAATATTGCTTTACTTCCACAAACATGTTGAAGCGAAGTATTTCCAGTTTGAAACTAGTGGTCACAATTAATACAATAGGTATCATTCATTTAGAAGGTTCATTTAGAACTTCAAAGTCAGCAAATAATAACAAAATTGATTCCATATAAGTTTTTACGAAATAATTGTGAAAAATTCAATCATCTTGACTAATTCAATTTTAAGATAATTTTTAGAACCATTTTTTAAAATTAGTAAATGGAATACAATCATCTTTGGTCGTAGTCAGGATGTTTCAAATTCTTGCAACCTTAATTGTTCAACTGCAGAAACTCTTAGCAATTCATTTAAATATCAATAAACCATGTTTTAATACTCTAATTGTAATAAGCAGTTTTATTGTATAATCTTTAATTTATTTATCTTAAATATATTACTCCCTAACTAAACTATTAAACATGTCTAAACAATATATCACTGAAATCTGCTAAATCTTCCTTCGAAGCACTTTTTAAATATAACACTTTTTCGTTGCATATTTTAGTGCGCTTATTCTTATGAGTAGCTCTAATTATTACGTACAATAATACAAATATTCACGTATTTTATCTTAATAAATTAAGAGAAGAAAAAAGTACTGATAAGTGGGCTGAATTATTTATTGAATTATGAAAACAGTCTATCGAGTTGCATTCTGTAAATTTGTTTATGTTAATCCATTCAGTTAAAGATTTTAGGTACCTAGAGTTAAACTAGAGGTTAGAGTCTGATCTATATAATGCATGTGTCAAATCAATTCTGCTGTATAGCTCTGAAACATGGCTGATGACCACTGAAACTAGTCGCATGCTGCAGTCTTTTACAACAGATGTCTGCGAAATATATGAAACAATGAAACGCGCCTGCAACTCACAAACTAAGAAAACCATACGCAGAGGCCTGTCATGCTGCCCTTGGAAAAGAACCATCCGGCATGAAACTAATAAATCATTTAATGGATTAAGATATTTAACATTAAACATACCTGGCGATTCTATGTAAGTAGTATTTGTTCTTGATGGATTAGGCTTAATATAATTTATAAATATACTGTTCAGTTTAACTAGAATTAGTATTAATTTTCTATAAAACACAAAAGTTTTGTTGAATTGAAATGCACAGAATAAAGGTCATAACTTAAAGGTTAATTGCTATTATTTTATTGTCAAATTCATGCTTCCATAAGTTTATGAACTAACAATTTACTAATGTTTGTCTCTTTGAAATACTGCAAGTTCATTTTCTAATATAAAATTTTAATGCAGTATTTGCTGCTTTCAATGCAGTTACACAATTCATTAAAATGTAATGTCAACCAACCCCTTTCTATGGGGTTGCCTGCTATACGAGACCTGCAGGCACATGAGTAATTGCAGTACGTTTTGCATATAAAAAATTTATACTTTGAAGCACACAAAGCTGAAACGAAAGTGCAGACATTTAAGACGATAAAATGCAATATACAACCACACACACACGCTGTAAGTGTAGTAGCGAAGAGACCACAAACAACACAAGCAACTGTGACAATTGCCAACATGTCCGTTCACCTGTTGTTCTGTTATGGCATTTTAATCGTACACACATACACACACACAAACCCACTTGACTTATCGCATCGGCTTGACAATTTAAAAAGTAACAGTACAGCATTTTTAACAGCACACACTCAAGCACACCACTGCGGCATGCATATAAATAGCAGCATTTAACAGGATGCTGACGCTAATGTTGACAATGATGGCATATGCCGCCTTTGGGTAAAAGCTTCATCACACATACATGGGCTGCTGTTTAACTTTCGTTGTGTACGAAAAACAAAAAAAATCAAATCAAGTGGAAATAAAAAGAAACTGTGCTAGAAGTGATAGAAAGGACAACACTTTAAGCTTGTGCTGCACTAAGCACTTCCATTGTGTGTCGTGTTGAGCAGCTGGCTTCTTTAAATGCCTACACTCGAGTATTAAACGTGCGTGTGTGTGTGTGAGTGTGTGTGAGTGGAGCAAATGACAGGCGTACCTTGGGTGTTGGTACATGAATGGTAAACAAGGCACTTTACCTTGAAACTACAAAAACTGTAAGTGTTTATGTTTAATGGCAATTTGTTAAATTACTCAATGCCGCGGAAATAATTTTACAACTGAGGGACTTCAACTAAATTACGTTTGGTACTTTTGGTGTGCATTAAATAATTATAAATGTTAATTACTTTTTCTTTAGATTATACTATTGTTTGTTATTTATGTTTTCTAGTTTCTTTTTAAATAGATATTATGATTCAATAGATATAATGATTTTTTGTAAGAACAAATATCAAATAATTTAATTTAATACAATAATTTTTTGCAAGAATTATTTTTTGGTACTTGCAGTCTCAAAAAATAATTATTTACGAATAATTAAATACAAGAATTATTTCCAAGACCACTGATGATGGGTATTTGGCAATACTCGAAACAGCTGTATGGTCAGCCAAAAATTCAATTAATTAAAATAATATAAAAATAAATTTTTGTTGTTGTATTTCACTACAATAATATATTGTAATGATATTTCAAAATATTTTTTTTTTAAATAAAAAAAAAAATTAATTAATTGAAACTATTTTTCACCGCTAACGGTCTTTATTTCAAATATAAAACAAAAAGGTTTAATTTTCAAGAAGTCTAAAAGTTCCCACATATCTGAAATAAAAATTTATTCTTACGACTCATGAAGTAATGAATTATTTTAAATGCGTCAATTTGGCTGTCCAATAATTTATTTAAGGTATTTTAACAAAACAAATATATATACTTACGACGTGCATAAATTTCATCAATTGAAAATATTGCTTTTATATACATCTATTAAAAATCTTAAAATCTAGACTGTACTTACTCATAACGCCAATCAGGTTTTATTGCATTGAATTCCACAATGAAAGATAGCAAACATATTTCAAATTTACTTTATGGACCGCCCAGAACTCTCATCAAGGGAGTCATCCTATTAATTGAAGTTTACTCTCATTTATCGATAATGCACTCATACATTTGTAATGTCATAAATTTGCATTGTGCTTGCATTTTCGAATAGATACTGCACCAACATAAAAGCATTCACCTGGGATAACCTATATATGAGCATTTAAAGCTAACAACCATAAGCTTCTGAGACTCTCTCTTGCAGTAGAACACTCACTGCAACTATATTATCAAGGGTTTTGGTGGGTTCAAGTCTGGCTATTTACTTACCGTAAAAACAACAAAAAACTTATAAAGGTGTGACTGGGTACATAAAATGTTTGCAAATGCGTTTGTTATCGAACTCAGCAGTCGATTCCTCCGAGTGAATAACACTTAAAGTTTAGTGCATATTTAGTACAGTACCGCAGGCTCTTTTACTAACTTTTCTGCCAAGCGAGGAAGGAAAATGTATTTGAAAAAGTCTTTGTATGTGTGAACTCCTAGTTTGCAACAAGTTTGCAACACACAATTAACTATTATTTCTATAAGAGGTTTAGCTACAGTAAGTAATAGTTAGGATTAACTTACGATGTCGCTTCAAGGATCAAAATTATTACAATTTGACAATGTTCCCATACTTTTACATTAATTTATTATAAAATAAATAAAAATTTCAACTATGATTTTTACAAATAATTTTGGAGCTTAATTATGAGCCATGAATTATCATTTTAATTACATATCACACAATGCACACACTAACACTTACTTACTACAATTTATTTGATTTATATCAAATTTCAACAATAAAATATCCTCCGGGTGCCTTGTCAGTGATTATAAAATGTTTGTGAAAGAACTTGAACCACAGAAAGTACAGAAAGTACAGAAACCACAAAATGTTGCCCATCAAGCTCTGCGGTAATTCATCATTTCATTTGAGTGTCTACTCAAAATGTAATCCGCACTAATTTATGGAGCTGAGCAGTCATGTTAATTGATGGACAGGAGACTGTACGTCAGACTAAGTGTTAATAAATACATTAGAGAAATATGTCAATATGAAAAGGCAACAACAAACAACAGTTATGCTGCTGCTGAGTACTGCCCGGGAACTTGTGGTTATGAGTAAATTTTTAGTTAACATTTAAAAAAGAGCTTAACTGTGAGTAAATATTAAAATATTTTAAAGCGCAGTTTGGCATAGTATAAATGCTTGCCTAGACAAGCTGTACATAAATGAGACCAAGCGCTCATGTAGGAAAAGAATGAGAGTGAGAGAGAATGCGTCGGTGTGGTTTAACACAGCGTATACGTAATTGTAAAATGTATTAACTTTGACAATTTAATGGATATGGTCAAGCATAGCACTTGATATTCTAACCAAAAATATTCAACTCAAGCAATATAACCACAAAATGACAATAACAAAAACATATTTTAAATGCAACGAATGCACATACACACATACACATGCAATAGAAAGCTCTGAAGAGAAAAAGAATCCATTAAATTCATTCATTCATAGGCGCTGTAGGCTACGGCTATGTCTTACTTGTGTCGAAAATTAAAACAAACAGCAGCTGTTGGTTTTCATTCCGGATTCTATGAAAGGAGGGAGTATTGCTTTCTATGCTAAGCAAAACAGGGGCAGCAGAGCGGAGCGCTTTGGCGAACAACAGTATGTATGGCTACATTGTAGCTACATTGTAGGTGTGTATATTTTTTGTATATTTTTTATTTGTAGTGGTTAACTTATGTTAATAGTTTGTGTTTTAATGCCTTTTAAGTGGTGCAATTTTCTTGAATAATGCTTTGTGGCGGTTTTAAAAAAATCGACTATGAATCGACTTTAGCTTTATCCAAATTTATTTTTTTGAAATATGTGAACATAAATATACTTATATACATACATATATTTATTTATAAATTAATTGCTATAATTAGTATAATTAAATTATTTTATATAATTGTTGAAGATTGATTTTGTGTTTATTCTGCAGACAGTTTTTTTTTGTTTTGATGTTATCCTTAAGAAGAGTTAAGCAAAGTATCTTCTTTTATGCATACTGTACCAAAATTGTTCACAACGCCCCCAACGTCCCAAACACCTCCAACCCGCTCGAAATGTTCGAAATGCTCGGTAATTCAATGAGCATTGTAACTCACATCATAGAACATGCAAACGAAGTACACGAAGCTTGCAGCTGCCCGAGTTTGTGCAAATTCAGTTCAAAATTTTCAATGTACTTGAGTTTTCTTCTATGTGCCCAGAACATCTGCACGTATACCTACACAAATCAAATTTTCACTACATTTTGCATTTTTGCACACTTTTCCGTAGCATTTTTTCATTTTAACAGTTTTTTCTTATTTTTTCAAATGTAAGTATGTATGTATGTGTTTCTTTTTCTTTAGTTAGTTTATGTCAGATTATATGTTGTATTTCTATAATTAAATTTTAGTTTTCTTTTTTATTTCTTAACTATTGCACAAGTTCTATCAATCTATCTATCAATAGCAATGAACTATTGAAAACCTACTAACACAGCACTTTTTATATAATTTTCAATTGTGACTGAAAATACATAAAATTAAAATTATATATACAAAAATATCGACATTTATCAATTTATAACGTTTAAAAATTTTCAATTAAAATTCAATTCAATTTGAACTTAAAACTAAAAGTACAACAAAATATACAGCATCAATGCATACACACTTACCTAAATATTGAAAAAAATTATATTCTTAACTGTTTTTCATAATTTTATAAACTTAAAAATTTTTTTTCTGTAACCTAATTGAGTAGTAAACGCTGTAGAAATAATTTAGATGCGTTTACCTTAATCACAACTGAAATACTTGAGAACTAAACATTAACTGAAAGGAGCAGAATTCGGCTAGTGACCGTTTGCCTAGTGCACATATTTCTCGAGAAAAGGCTAAATTGTGCTTAACATGTGGGTTGAGCCACACAGCAGACCAGCGAGAGAATGGTTTACATTTGAAAGCTTTTTATTAATTGCTGAGCTCTATTTATTCTCTGAGCGAAAGTTTGCTCTTCGAAGAAAAACACTTGTTATGCATGCATTGGCTCGGCTCCGATGCTGATTGGCATATCCTCCTAATAGCGCCCCGTAGGCTATACTTTTGTTTATGTTTTGTTGTTGTCATTCTCGTTGTCCTTTTTGTTGCTGTTGTTGCTACTGTTGTTGTTGTTGTATTGCGGAGCAAACACAAATATATTGCGTGAGACTAACTAACCGGCGATTTTGAATCTATTTGAGGACAAATAAATTACACCAAAACACTACAACAACAACAACGAATGATTATTTCAATGCGTTTATTAATAATTGATGCAGCTACAGTGGCTCAAATCAACAATTTACCATGTTTTGTGAGAATATTACCAATATTTTGACAACATGCCTATTTGAATGAAGAATCAAACATTAAAAATGTTTCACGGGAGGTTTTCTATAGAAAATACTTTTTTTTCCGGAATCACACTTTTGTTTTTCTTCCGGTTTGTTTTTGTTTTACTTTATTCTTCTTACCTCTCTTACTTTTGGTAATTTTTCACTGCTATTGTTTTTTTTTTGTTTTAAGTATGGGTGTTTATATGCCTAAGTTGGTTGGTTAAAATGATTTTAATCGCGATAGAACTTTTTCTTTTGTGAGTTCTTATGCTTAGACGTCGTTTGGTTGGGACTGACATACATTCACAGTTGAGATTTAATTCCCTGTTTATAGAAAATATTATAATTGTAAGGTCTTTAAACGTAAATATATAGGAACCCTATAGTTTTAAATTTTTTTAAGAAATAAAGTTAATTAATTAATTTTAGTTTTATAATATTTATCAACAATTTTCAAAAATTACAATTACAACAAACCATTACATAGACTTTGTAGCGCTGATTTTTGTTAAAAACATTTTTTATGATATTTAAATAAGAACTACTATCTAAATATCAGACAATTTCGACACAATTTCAATTTTATAACAGATATAAAAGCATTATCTTCAACTATCTGATATAACATGTGGTATTCCGTCATTGAAAATTTGTTACTCGTGCATTTCATCATTTGATGTACTCCGTGACACATAAAAAGTGTCTAGAAAAGGTTAGGTTATGACTTACTTAACCTATAGGTACTTAGACCTAACGACACATATTGTGTTGTTAACCTATATTGGTATTAAGAAAACTCAGAGGTTTAAAAATCACTTTGAACTTTTGGCAATACTTTTTAGTGGGGAGTCTACTGAAATTTAGTGAGTCTGAAAAAACTGAAATTGCATAAAGATGACTGCATGCTATCTAATCTATAAATCTATAAATATTAGATTATATGATCACAGCGTTTAACCTTGAATGTACAGCTATTCAATTTCACACAAGCAAGTAATGCGTATTAAAAATATGAACACTTCCGGTCAGGCGTCTAAACATAATGTGTTATAACTTCGTTATTCTTCAACCGATTCAGTTGAAATATGAAATATAAATAAATTAAATATTTATAAAATTATAAATGTCTTTTTGTTATTATTTATTAAATTTGTTGTTGAAATAAATGGGGTTTATTGAAGGTCATATTTTTCGTAATTTTTCGCGGGTTTCTCAGGCCTGAAATAGGTGTAAAACAAAAAGTGCGCAGGCCAATTTTTTTTTGTTGTAAAGTTTAACTATTTGGCTATTAGTAGGAAAAATTTCATGAAAAAACTCGGATACATTTTTTGGGTATCGCAGATAGAAGTGAAAATAGCCATGAAAAAAATGCTGACTTTTTGTGCAATTTCGCTAATAAAATTTTTTTGATAATTAAAATTGAAATTTTTTTTTCACATAATGAATAACAATATTGTAAGCTTTAAAAAAAATTAAAAATGATCATTTTTGAATAAATAGTAAAAAAGCTATAAGGGTTTAAAGTTGGTTCAATTTTTACGAAATCATAATTTCGCTAAAGTTGCATAAACTGCAAATAACTTAGGAACTAATGGGCGGATCATGCCCATTTTTTGCATAAAGTTGTGTTGCTATGTAACTCACGTATATGTGTAGTCCAATAAGTGCAAAAAGTGTTTTTAACGATAATAAATGATTTAATATGAAAATTTTGTATGGGGGGTGGGTGTGGCAGTGGGCGAAAAACCATAAAAAATTTTTGAATCTAGATAATAACGCAAGTTTTCCGGACACCAAAATTCAGCTTTCTACCTATCATTGTTTTTAAGTAATCTTGGGACCACGGTAAAATCCCCATGTTTGGACAAAAATTTCGGGTAGTTCCGGTAGGCCGATTGGGCTCAAATTAGATTTAAAAGAAAGATCAACTCAAAAACTATATTTTAGGAAAACTTCATATCAATATCTCTTCTGGTTCCGAAATTATCGAGTTATGACCGCCTAATTTTGCGTTTTGTCACACTGTGCGACGTGCATAAATTTCATCAATTGAAAATATTGCTTTTATATATATCTATTAAAAATCTTAAAATCTAGACTGTACTTACTCATAACGCCAATCAGGTTTTATTGCATTGAATTCCACAATGAAAGATAGCAAACATATTTCAAATTTACTTTATGGACCGCCCAGAACTCTCATCAAGGGAGTCATCCTATTAATTGAAGTTTACTCTCATTTATAGATAATGCACTCATACATTTGTAATGTCATAAATTTGCATTGTGCTTGCATTTTCGAATAGATACTGCACCAACATAAAAGCATTCACCTGGGATAACCTTATATTCACCTGGGATAAATGCTTATATATGAGCATTTAAAGCTAACAACCATAAGCTTCTGGGACTCTCTCTTGCAGTAGAACACTCACTGCAACTATATTATCAAGGGTTTTGGTGGGTTCAAGTCTGGCTATTTACTTACCGTAAAAACAACAAAAAACTTATAAAGGTGTGACTGGGTACATAAAATATTTGCAAATGCGTTTGTTATCGAACTCAGCAGTCGATTCCTCCGAGTGAATAACACTTGAAGTTTAGTGCATATTTAGTACAGTACCGCATGCTCTTTTATTAACTTTTCTGCCAAGCGAGGAAGAAAAATTTATTTTAAAAAATCTTTGTATGTGTGAACTCCTAGTTTGCAACAAGTTTGCAACACACAATTAACTATTATTTCTATAAACTGTCGTCAGAAAACAACTAATCGGGTTGAATGGCGGAGGCTTTTCGACGCGGCCAGGGGCGACCCACGTCTGTAATGGCCAACTAAGTAAGTTTATATGTACCATATCATAATTTTAATGTATATAACAGTTGGTCTCATTGTGGACTAATTCCCTCACTCTTGTTCACTCTTGTCTATACTGCCAGAATAATGCCAAGTCACTGAAAGCAGGGGAGTCTTCTCGGGGTTAATAATTTATACAAAAATAAATTAATATTATATATAATTTATATAAATTATAATATTTTTGTTTTAATTCTATCATAATTAATTTAAACATATCATTTTTATTTCAAATAAAACAACTTGATTTGATTTCCAGATAAATCAAACTTAATTTGCGTCACATCTCCGGTACTTAAATAAAATAATACGAGTATTCCAGTGCAATTATTCAAAGAATTTGTATTAAAGTGACCCACTAAGATTTTAATAATTCTTTTATATATCATAGATCACAGAGAAAGGGTTTTTTTATTAACTAATTAACTCAGTTATTTAAATAAAGTCAATGTTCAGAAGCAACTTTGGTGGCCGGAGAGATTTATTTATGACTAGATTTCATACAATTCTCATTGTGTATGGGCCTTTGTTTTATTTATATATATACGATATGTATATATGTGTAGATTGGATGAATTCTGTTGAGAAAACTGAACTTAAAGAAATCAAAAGTAATTTTGCTACCAAAATGTCGAAAATGAAAAGAAAAGAATTGTCTAAAAAGGTGTTAAGTTGGTAGAATTTTATGATCGAACTCATTTTGCATAAACACAATGGCACTGAAGGGAAACAAAAGTATCTGAAGTTTATTTATGTAAATATTGTTAAAAAGCATAAATGAACGCTTCATGCAAATATCTCCGCGGTTTCAATGAACGGTACCTCTGGTAAAATAAACAATAAGATCATAATAAAAAAACAAAAAAAAACAAATTAGTTTATTTAAATAAAATTAGGTTGCCGCTTATGAAAGGAAATTTGAATGGCATCTGTTCTATGGCTTACAATAAAAAAAGAGTATAACTTTATAAAGCCAAACAAGAAATTAAAATCCATCCATTGGATACGTCAAACAAGGTGTGTGTTACTTTACAGTAACCAGTGACACTCAACAATTTATCCGGTATGTCTTGGTTTTGGCAGAAAGTGAGTGTTCAGTTTTATTTTAGACTTTAAGGTTGCTGGATTGATTTATGAAGTTCATTTGAAAATTTTTTGATTTTATTAAAAACAATATGTGGAGATTTTTAGTAAGTTTATCCAAGACTATATATATATTATACCACATAACAATAATTTTCATCATTTTGTTGTAGTTGTTCATATTGTTTATGTTACTACGTCTCAGTAATGGATCTGGAGTTAATAGAGCAGCTACACAGCGAGACAACAAAAATATTGCGTAAATATTTCTTAAAAATTTTTTGAATTTGATACTCTAAATTTAATGATACTATATACATCCTCCCCCATTGCACGACAAACAAGCTTAAAAGTTATTATGTGACCATTTCATAGAATAAAATATTAATTAATAGAACTAATAATATAACTAATCCGAATAGTGTTACTTCTCTTCTGCAGAGTCTACCATCGGCAGACCATTATTTATTATACATTGCTTTCAAAGTTCCATACACTGTTTATTAACTTTTCGTCGCAAAATTGAGAAGAGAATTTTTGAAATAGCATT